AATATCTATTTCTGAGTGTTTAAGAGCTTGCTTAGCAAGCTTATCAACCACTTCATTAGCCTCCACTTCCACATGAGCAGGAACCCACAAAAATGTTATTAAGCTTATATTACTTATTCTTAATAAACTTGCAAGAATCTCATAAATAATGTCTTGCCTTGATGTTTTTACTCCACTTGCAAGGCTCAATATTGCTGCATAAGAGTCAGAACATATTACTACTAACCTTGGTTTTACATCCTCTACCCACTGGAGTGCTACCACCATGGCAATTAATTCTGCTGTATACACGGATACAAGATCAGTTATTCTTTTCTTAAAGGTCCCATGGCATGGAAATTTCACTTTATGAGGTTTTTTAACATTAATATGAGTTCCCCTAGCCTGCCTATGGTCCCCCACCCTTTAATACTAGTTTGAAACTTTGGAATAAATACTGCAGCAGCTGTACTGCCAGAGATAGGGTCTTTAGAACCATCAGTATATATATGTAACCACGATGGATAAGTCTGATCTAAATACTGCTGTGCAATAATGTTCTTAGGGGTTTCTTTCACATTTTTAATTTTTATTTGTATTTGAAAATCGACTATTGGCATAGGAAAAATCCATGGTGGTATACTGGATAATATCACAGTAGGGCTAACATCACAGTCTGCAATACCAACAACTTGTGCTTCCCTTTTAGCAATCCATCCAAAGCTTTTAATATTTTTGTTTCCATGCTCCCAGCATTCTTCAGTTTGATCCTTCGCTGGCTGTGCTGATTTAAATCTAGTGGTTCTGTTGTGTTTGTGTTGCTAGTTCAGTGATGCAGGTTGTGGTGTTCTCTCCGGCCAATCCGTGATCAGCAGAGTTTACACGTCACGTTTTGGTAACGGTACGGTTCACTTGGAACCTCAACCGAGGTGGTACTAAAAAAGTACCAGGTACCAGGTACTGTACCAAGTGGAAAATCCCCCAAAAGTGAACCGTACCGAGCCGTACCGTGCCGTGCCATGCAGTGGAAAAGCATAAAAAGTTAATACCCTAAAGGGGTTTATTCTGCGATAACAATCAGCTGCTATCGCTGGCCAGACATCTGGCCTGGTTTGGGCATGTTACCCAGCACAACAGCCACAGAAGGCAATTTTTCAAAGAACGGAAGGTAGGTGAAGCAGGGGAACAAAAGACTTGGTTCGACAGCATTAATGAATGGGCTTCTGTCAACATCTTCCTATGACTGGAGGACAATCTGATCATGATCAAAACACATGAAGTAAGTCTGGAGGACAATCTCATCTGCATCATCTCTCATGTTTCCCTGATGACATGATGGGTAGAGGACCTGACATGACATGCTATAGTTTCTTTTTTTTTTTTGATCATGATCAAAAAACATGAAGTAGGTCTTATCTGTTTTTCTAAAGGTTTTCCATTACATAGCATGTGGTAACAAGTTCTTCAACTGTAGGTAGACATTAAATGAGAAAATGAGATGGGAAACGTGCAAACAAATAGATCATAGCTCCAATGCAGAGTTACGAAGAGTGACTGGATGGATAAACATTTAGGGAGGAACATCTTCCAATCATCACAGTTCATGTACATAATACAACTACAATGAGACTTATGTTTGGGTTTCCACAGGGTGCTTTTTAATCCTTTGTTACAGCTTTCAGCTGTGGGACTGCAATTTGCTTGAAAGACTGTGTCATGTTAGTTTATATACATTAGTTAAATTCAAATGGTGGCAGGTTCTCTCATGTGACAGCTCAGACTTTAAGATGATTTTAAGAAGTTTATCACATGATTTGTGAGGATGTGTGAAAAAAATAGTTATAAGCATAAATAAACATAATTTATATTGCAAACCAAGTCCTAAACAACAGCAACAACAGGGGAGTCAATAGGATTAGCTTTTTGTCACCCATAGCACAAAAAAAGAAAAAGAAAAACATGGCTAACCGTATCAAAGATTTAAATAAAACATATTTCTGTTAAAGTTTGTAACTGTTCATATTAGTGTAATACATTGAGAAATTAACATGACAGTCGCATCATTTTTTTTGACAACATCACAATTTAAAATACCTAAAATCTTAGTGTCACGTTTTGATTGGTCAGGTTGCACGAGGGACGAACATTCACAAGATGTACCAGATAAAAGGGCATACATTTTTCACTTCCATTTAGTTTCACTTCGCTTCCAGTTATTCAGAGACTCTCAGTTTAGGCTTTAACAGACTCTGTGTAAATGATAATATTAACAAATAATTGACTGAATTATTTAAAGCTTTCTGGAAAATTCAAAACCAAATAGAAAAAAAATGAGTGAAAGAGGTAAGTACATTTACAATTAGTATGTAACCTAGATATATTGATGATATCTGATAGTAGATAGTAAATATGAAAGTATGTAAGTTTATTTTAAAATTTCATACATCTGTATTTTCACAGAACGTCTGATTTCAAAAGAGGATCACATTAATTCATTTGGTAAGACCTGTTTAGTCATTTCACTAAATCTTAATCTTTTGTAGTGTAACACTAGCTCTTTACTGAAAAAAAAAAGATTTTTCATTTCTAGATACGTATGTGAAAACAATCCACAGTATTACAATTCAATAATTAAAGTAATTCTTTATATATCAAATTTTGTTGGGAAGTCTGATTCATTATGCATTTCATCCAAAGTAAAAAAAAAAAAGAATTTACTGATTCATCAGTACAACATTTAACATCATATTTTTGTGTGGAAAATGTATAGTTAAATGATGATGTTATGAATGTATGTATGTATGTATGTATGTATTCAATTATTCAGTTTCAATACATTTTTATGTTGTTTGTCTGTAGTATAAAAGTATGTATGTTGATGCTGTCACCCTGCTGTCAGTTTTCAATTTGGGGTCACTGGTTTTGTGCTAGATAATTATTTATATTTCCGGCCTTAAGTTGCTTTAGTGTAGTTGGCTTATGTCAGTTTGTAGAGCAGCTAACAAAAGTTTTAAAAGGTTAGGCTGACACTAGTTTAACTACTTTAAATTGTGAAATATCTTTCTCAAAAATGTGTGTGTACATTATTTCTGAAAGCGGTCATTTTCCTGTTACAACTGAAGTGCAATGTAATTTTAGAAAGACAATCTGCTGCTGTAAGACGAAGACCACTTAATCAGCCGCACCAACATCACATTGCAGAACTTCATAGGTGGACGCAGCAATCCACAGAAGACAGAAGTACAAGTACATACTTTAACTTAAATTGTATTGCAAACAAAGTAGTTTTTAAATGCAGTTGACATTCTTTTTAATCCACATGTTATAATTGATCCACAGTATCAGCCTCATCTGAACTCAGGATTGTTCTGCTGGGTAAAACTGGATCAGGAAAGAGTTCAGCAGGAAACACCATCCTGGGCCAACATTTTTTTGAAGAGGCTGTTTCACCAGTGTCAGTTACTAAAACCTGTAAGAGGAAAGAAGCACCGATTGGTGACCAGATCATCTCAGTTGTCGACACTCCAGGCCTGTTTGATACGACAATGACAAAACAGAAAATGAAGAATGAAATCGAGAAGTGTGTCTACATGACTGTTCCTGGTCCTCATGCATTTCTGTTGCTGATAAAAGTGGGGAGATTCACAGATGAAGAGAAGAGTGCAGTGAAATGGATTCAGATGAACTTTGGAGAAGATGCTGCACATTACACCATCATTCTGTTCACTTACGCTGATCAGTTGAAGAGAAAACCTTTAGATGAGTATATAAGAGAAAGTAATGATCTCAAGGCTCTTGTTAATGAGTGTGGTGGCAGATTTCACTCATTCAACAATGAAGACACAGAAAATCACTCTCAGGTCACTGAACTGCTGCAGAAGATTGAGAAGATGGTGGAGAAGAATGAATGGACATTCTACACTCATGAGATGTACCAGGACGCTCAGAGAAAGATACTAGACAGAGCACAGTTCTGTAAGTGTATTTGAATCAGAATACCACCATGATATAACCACCAGTGCAGGAATAAAATGATCGTGTTCTGTTCATTATCTCTGGATCAGTCCTGCATCAGTCACTGCCTGTTTCACATATTATACTGATACTATGAGATTTATCTACTTATCTAGTTCTTTTCTAATGTCTCAATTGTAATTGCTCTGATTTATTTGACATTCTGATTGACAGGGTCTGGAAATCCTCGGATTCTGCTGCTGGGTAAAACTAGGTCAGGAAAGACCAGTGCGGTAGAAACCATTGTGGGCTGAGAAAGTTTTGAAAGGAGAAATTCACCAGATTCTGCTACTGAAACCTGTAAGAAACTAGAAGCTTGTGTGGCTGGAAAGAGCATGACAATAATCGACACTCCAGGACTGATTGATGCACCAGTGAAGAAGATGAAGGACGAAAGAAAGAAGTTTGTCTTCATGTCTGTCCCTGGTCCTCATGCGTTTCTGCTGGTCATCAAACCGGATTCGAGATTCACAGACGAAGAGAAAAACACAGAGAAATGGATTCTGGAGAACATTGGTGAAGATGCTTTACGTCACACCATCATTCTTTTCACTCACACTGATCATCTGATAAGACAATCATTGGATGGGTATATTGGCGAGAGAAGGTTTCTTCAATCACTGGTTGACGGCTGCGGTGGCAGATTTCACTCATTCAACAATCAGGATAGAAATGATCACAATCAGGTCACTGAACTGCTAGAGAAGATTGAAAACTTTGCAGAGAGAAATGAATGGATGTACTACACAAATGAGATGTTTCAAATAATTATAGAAAGAAAGATTTTTTATGAAAACCTAAATAAATTCCTAACTAAAGCTGCAATAGGAACTGTACCACTAAGTGTAGGAACCATAGTAGCAGAGAGTGCTGTCATGGCATTAACAGAGTCAGTCATAGCACCAGTACTAATATTTGCAGGAGTTGTGGTTGGAGCTGGAGCAACTGCAGTGTTTGTTTGGAAAAAAATGTATGAAAAATATGGTTAGTAAGCTTTTGCAATCTATGTTGTTATATATGAATGTTGTAATTGTCATTGTTGATAGATGACACATTCATTTTAATAAGTGGCTAAACAACCTATGACCTAATGTTTAAATGTTTTTCAATGTGCTATTTTCAATAATTCAGATCTGAGTGTTAATTTTTGTTACTTTTTATTCACTGTGCTATTCAATTCAATTCAATTCAAGTTTATTTGTATATCACTTTTCACGATACAAATCATTGCAAAGCAGCTTTGCAGAAAATTAAGTTTCTACAATATATTTAGTAGTAGCTTATTAGTGGTGACTATGTCAATTTGATGTACAGTACATATGGCAGAAATGTACCGTAAAAATCAATTAAAGACATAATCAAACAGACGATAAACACTATTAACAGCAATTATTATATGTTGCAATCAAACTTATAGCAAAATGTGGTAGTTCTGCATGTTGTTTCAGGGTTGGCATCATCTGAGGTCCTCTGAGACATGTTATAGAAACGAAAATGATGGTGTATAAAATGATTTTAAGATAAAAAATAGACCGTAAAGAATTAACTTGATATAATAAACTCAAAACACACAGCAGCAACAAACAGGAAGTGGAAACATCTGAATGTCGTCATCATTAGCAGACACTTCATGTATCCTTTTTATCATGCCTAATGTTTGACATGTGGATCTTCCTAATATTGCAGGAGCATCTCTTGCCACAATCTGGAACTGAATCATGTGTTTTTGACCTTTGTACTCACAGATTAACTGTTTCTGTCCCAATGGCGACATCTGGTGTCCAGAGTATGTAAGTAACTTGCAGGTGGATTTTAGCAGCTTCTCCATTATGTCCAGCGAGTTGAAAGTCTTTAATGAGAGAACATTACATTCTGCACCAGTGTCCAACTTGAATTTGACTTGTTTGCCTCTAATCTTGAGCACTTCAGACCACTCTTCTTTTTCTTTCTGGATCTCGGTAGTGACAGACTGTAAATTTTGTAGCTTGTTTCTCTGAATTTCTAGTGTGCCCAGGAACATATTTTTGTCACCTTCCTCTGTCTGCTCAAGCGTGTGCATCTTTCTACGGTGTTTCCGCTCATTTTTGCGAAGTGGTTCTTTTTATTACACTGTCTGCACGTTTGACCGTAGGCAGGGCATTTTCTCTGTTCATGTTTGTAACCACATCTGCTGCACTTTATGTCGTCATTCGAATCACTCCTCGTTGGCATACTCTTGTTGATTTTTTGCTTAATTTTTGCAGTTTTGATCTTGTGCATGTCTACTTCTTCATTTAGTGCTTTTACTTGGCTAGACGTGATTTCGTTAGCCCGACAAATGTCCACAGCTTTTGCTAGTGTGAGATCTGCTTCTCTTAGCAATCTGGCTCTTACTGTGTCATCTCATATGCCGCAAACAATGCTGTCTCTGATTAGGGAATCATGCAATTCTCCAAACTCACAGTCTTTTGTCTTGTTCTTTAGGTCCGTGACGTAGGCATCAATATTCTCTGACGGTCCTTGGGCCCTCGTGAAGAACATGTTACGTATGTAAGGTAGGTTTTTTCTCAGTTCACAATAGTCTCTGCATTTTTGTTTGAAAACGTTTATTTTGTCTCTCTCATCTTCATTAAATTCTAAAGTATTGCAAACTTTAATTGCTTCCTCACCCGCGACGTGCAGAAACGTGGCACACTGCACTTTTTCATACTTTTCTGCAATACTGCTAGCCGTCAGGAACAAGTCGAATTTTTGCATCCAAATCTTCCAGTTTTCGGCAAGATTTCCTTGTAAACACAGGTTTGATGGTGGCTGTAACTGTGCCATTCTTCTTTCGATGCACTTACAACTTCTGACACCATGTATTGTTCTTTTTTAATCATTAAATGAGACGACGCCCTCTAGAACTCAAATGCTTTTATATACCTCCTCGTTCTTACGTCATGTGCTTCCACGTTACGCACTTACATCATGACGTATTACACTTTAATCATTAAATGAGACGACGCCCTCTAGAACTCAAATGCTTTTATATACCTCCTCGTTCTTACATGTCATGTGCTTCCACGTTACGCACTTACATCATGACGTATTACACTTGAATACGTTACACCACACACACTCACACATAACAGCATCTTTGTAACACACATGATATCACAGCCTATCCTACATGACTAATAAAAATCACAAACAAATTATTATAATATATGATTATATGTAATTTTATTTCAAACGAACGAGTAAAATAAATTGAGTTTTCTTAGAATAGGCTAGTTCTTCTCTGCATTCTTCTGAAGGCGCTCCGCCTGCGGTGTTGAATGCTTTGTTGTTAGACCATTTAAACGTTAATTACAAAATTACGCAAATAAAATGTTTAGCGTAGCCTAACTCTGGACAAAATCTTTAGCCTATTTATTTAATTAGCCTATTTATTTTATTTATTCTAGACATTATTTCTAAGTGAAGCAACATTTGCAATATCCACAAGATACAGTATAAGAGCGCACGGCCATCTATCGATCATTTGCGCCTCAAAGGGGGCATTCCAAAACGCTTAACGGTGCTTGATGCTTTAAGAGAGTGTTTTTAAAAGACTGAACTCAGTAAACACATTATTAATAAATTATAATATGTACAGACAAGCAGATCAGTCCAGGATGCGAATAACGCAACTTGTTTTTCTTATAGCCTAACTGTTTTCTATGGGTAAAACGCTTAACGTGTTAAACGCGTTGTGTTCTTATGGGCTTATTTGCTTGTCTGTACATAGAATACTTTATTAATGATGTGTTTATTGAGTTTGGTCTTGTAAAAACACTGACTTAACACATTAAGCAACGTTAAGTGTTGTCCGTGCAGTATTCTATGGGAGGAAAATGCTTAAAGCGGAATTAGACGCATTGCGTTCTTATTATGGGCTCATATTCTTGTACATAGTATGAATTACTAATAATGTGTATACTGAGTTTTGGCTTTTAAAAACACTCTTAATTAACACTTATAAAAGGGATAGTTCCGGTGCTTGGTTCTGATTGGTTGAGCCGCGTTTGAAGCTGTTGTAAATTACTCTACAAACATACACCTTTGTTTACGTCTGTTGTTGCTCGGCAACCATTTTGTTGCAACCACAACTGATTCTGAGGAACTACATTGTTTGGCGGAAGAAAAATGTTTTTATTAATATCATTACACTTTATTTGCTTTGTTTTATTTTGTGAAACCTTGCTACATATATGGAATAACCGTTTTATAAAAGCAATAAGCCCTGTGAAGCCGTGGTTTACAGTGAATTTATAACAGCTAAGGGGTGTTGTTAGGCACGACGCAAAGCGGACTTCTTGGGGCTTACTGCTTTAATTAAACCAGGTTAAGCATTTTAGAATGTCCTTGTCGTTATTATAGCAACAGTAAACTCATGATGCATATTTTTATATATATATTAGGGCAACAACAGACACCACGCATCAGATGTGTGGACGTATTTCATCAAGGACGACAAAAATATTGTAATTTGCCAACTCTGTAAGACTACTTTAAAATACAACAGCAGTATGACAGCTATGCACAACCACCTACGATCGAAACACCCAACCACAAAGGCAAATGTTAGTGAGATGCACACCACGAAGCAAACAAGCATAGGTGAATTCTGTAAAGGCCCAGTTACAGAGAAGAGAAGACAGTTAATGACAGCTTTACTTGTGGATTTTATAGTGAAGGATGTAAGACCACTCTCTTCAGTTTCAGGAGAGGGATTCAGGGGAATTATCAACTTCTTTGAACCCAGCTACACTGCTCCATCGAATGCTACACTGTGGAAAGTAATTGGCCACAAATGTGACTCTCTAAAGTTGGACATTGCGTCTGAAATGAAAGGCAAGAACATCTCCCTCTGTACTGATCTCTGGACTTCTTGCACCATGGAGCCATATATAACAATAACAGCTCACTACATCAATGAACTATGGGAGTTAAAATCAAGGGTGTTAGGCACCACTATCATGCCAGGGAGACACACTGCTGTCTACATTGCACAGAAGCTCACAGAAACTATTACAGTTTTTGCCTATTGCTTACACACGTTTTGCTAAATTTGGCTCATTGTGTCAAAACTCTACACACAAGCAAATAACACACAACACTGGGAAATAAACCATTCACATCTATGTCAAATTGAAACTCTGCTATCAAAACCTAACAATCCTTTGTCAAAATGTCACTCTGATGACAAAATGATACCCACTTGCATCATATGAATACACTTTCAGATCAG